TATATATAAACTAGTCACAAAACCTAGCCATCAAATAAACTCTAAACATGTAGATGCCCACCATTTTTGAATTTCCTCAAACTCTTCATCAGTGAACGAAATTAGATTTTTGAATACCTACAATTTCAAAATAGATATGAGTTAAATATTAGTTGATGATTAAATAATTAAATAATCAATTAAAGTACGTAAATTGATTTATATATGTAATACCTCTATCCATGAGTCACTAGTGTTGTGTCAGAGATAATGGTGAACATTTGTTTTATAACGTAATAATCACACTCATGATTACCCATTTTATGTGGCACTACAATTTAAATATATACATTAGAATGTATTTGAATTTGTAATCAAGCATTAGGTTGACATTTGACTTACTTATGGGCCAAATATATTTAAGTTTCTTCCGAGCTACTAGAAGAAGCCCTTGCAAGATCAAACTTGCATTTAAAGACCTATGACAATGAATGATAAACTAACAATAATTAAAGAATGAAATTATTATTAGTTTAATGAAATTTTATATATATATATATATATAGAGAGAGAGAGAGAGAGAGAGAGAGGGAGAGAGAGAGAGAGACACACACACATAAGAATTTGTATTCAAATTAGATACTTACGAGTCAATAAAGTGTCTGACAGATAGCTCAATAGTTTTCTTGTGTGATGAACACAAGAGAACCACTAAAAACTATCTCAAAATTATAACAAGTAGCTACCAATGTGCTCTATATTTTGTAATAGTGTTAAAAACTTGTAAGTTACTTTAAGTTTCAGATAAAATATAAATTTGTATTTACTTATTCAAATAAGGTGCTAAGTTAGTCTCTTTGCCTTCTAACCTAAATTAGTCTACCAGTATCAAATACTCTTTACACATTAGTGTCTTTATAACCAATATACTAGAAGACAACTAGGTCAATGAATCCATAGTAATAATAAAAAAAAAACACTCTAGACTATCTAAAATTGTGTCTCACCAATAAAATTGTGCAAGGGGAATTGAAATAATATAGTGATGACAATAACCTTATTTAATCTACTAATGTTAATATCTAAGATTGTGCAAGGGTATCTAAGAATGTATAAGTTTATGACTACCTAAAATATATATCTCCAAGTATCAAGATTTATCAAATCTTTCTAAGTTAATTATAATGTAAGTAAATAAACCAAAAAAGTTATATTAGGTTTACTTAACTTGATTATGGGGTCCGTATATAATTTTTTAAGTTACATTAATTTATAATTTATAATTTAGTTAATTAAATCCAAAATAATGTGTTTATTTAAATAGTCTCAATAACTATTGATTTTATTTATAAATAATTATATGCTCTAAAATAACTTCTAAAAAGTCTTAAAAGGGCTATTACACGGGCCTTCACAATGTCTTAAATAGAAAATGGTTTCTATGTTAAGTAAAGTCACACTTGTCATAGAAAATTTTCTTGTATTTATAATTTTGTCACTACATCATATTTTATATTGTGTAGATTATATCTAATATAAAATCTTCATCATAAAAACTTGATTTTACACTAAAGTGATGTTGTTTATCTAACCACAATCAATAGAATAGATTATCATTTTATCTTTAAAAATGTAAATTTAAATTTAATTTAATATTATAAAATAGACTTATAAAATGTAAATTACTTTTTTACTTGTATACTATAGATAGACCTTATCATTAATATGAAATTATTAACACACTCATCATGCAAAAAGTTTAACATCTTGAACGTGAAATTTAGATAATTAAAAATATAAGAATAATTTTATAATAATTTGATAATTTTCAACAACAATTACTATGATATCTTCTAATCAATAACTAAAATTGCTCACTCTTCCCTCGCTTCAGTTAGCCGAGGAAAATCTCGTTCATTGATTAATAGCGAATCATTTTTGTTTTTTTTGTAAGGATAAAGGCCGTCCCGTGTGTCGTTTCATGTTCCACGTCGAACGAAGACACGTCGTTTTGAAGCAGCGACTGTGTACCGCATTGTAGTAGTTTGAAGCGCTCAACACGCACGCGCAACGCAAACATGGCGATGCGAAGGAACATCACCGAGCACTCATCGAATGCTCTGCCCTGAGCCATGTCCACTCTCATTCAGATTCGCGACGCCGGCATCGCCGCCGACGTAGGCGACGGCGTCTACTCTCCGGCGAAGCAGAAAGCCGCCGGCCGAAGCGCCTACAGCAACCGCCCCCTTCTCTCCCTTCGCCGAGCCAAACAGTTTCTCGGCGCCGCCAAGTGCAAGCTCTTGTTCGCGCTCTTCGCACTCTCCGTCGTCGTTTTGGTCGCCTCCAGACTCAGCTCATGGATGGGTTGGAACCCTCACCACTCCTCTTATGTTTCTTCTACTTCAAGGTATAACAAAAAAAAAAAAAATAGATCTGCTTTTTTTTTTCTGTAGTTTTTTTTATGGATCTATTGTTTTTAGTCGGTTGTGTGGAATTGTGTAGATGATTTTTTTTTAATTATTTAATCTTGCAATTGGTTTTTTATGCGTGTATTTTTTCCTTTCTGTTTCAAGGAAATTTCATTTTATTGATTAAATTAACCATTTTTTACCTGTTGAAAAGTGATGATGTAAAATGTTTATTTGAACTACTGTTGGCGTAAATGTTGAATTCTGTGCTATGTGAAATTGGAAAGTTTCTGTAGTACGAAGTTTGTAGAGAAGATTTACGCTGTTGGAGATCAGATCAGAACTCTACGTGGCATCGTTTTGGGAAATTCTCAAAACGAAAGATGCATTACAATGTGTTAGGTTGTTTAGTTCAGCGTGATATGATATGTGCATGCGAACAACTTAGATTCCTATCTATGGATAGTCATGATGGTAGATTCCTTAATTCATTGTGAATTGTAATTGTTTTAGGGAAACAATGAATTAGGGCTGTTTGATTTCCTTATCACTTTTTGGTTTTAAAAACTGTTTTCTAAAATAATTCCATGCTACTCAGCAATAAAATTTTCATCCGAAGTCTATTAATCATTTTCATGCAAGTCTTTTTAAAAAGCAAAAAATTCCTTCTCTGTTTTGTGGTTCTAGCTCCAGGGTGTGACTTGTGAGTCATCAGGAGTGGTTTGGCATGAGCATGGGCCTGGTCCTGGTGTGGGTGTATTTTTTCTTTGTTTTTTTAAAAAACTAAAATCAATTTTTGAAAATAGAATTCAAAGACACCCTTTTATTTCTTCTAGTGGTTTTTTCTTGCATGTAATGACATGCGAATACAATGTGGTTCTTCTTGCTCGTGGTAGGATTAGAATTGCAGAGTTTTATTTGTTTTATAATTTGACCTGGATTGATACAACTGATTTAATCCATGATTCAGGGGTGGATATACTGTGCTTATAAACACTTGGAGGAAAAAATCTCTTCTGAAACAAACTGTTGCTCATTATGCATCCTGTCGTAGTGCTGATGCAATACATGTGGTGTGGAGTGAACGTGAACAACCATCTGAGAAGCTGAAAAGATATCTTAATAAGATTGTGGTTTTGAAGTCTCAAAAAGCTCACAAACACAACTTTAGATTTGACATCAATGCGGATGATGAACCAAACAGCAGGTTTAAGCCAATAAAGGACCTCAGTACAGACGCTGTTTTCTCAGTTGATGATGATGTAATTGTTCCATGCTCTACTCTAGATTTTGCTTTCTCTGTCTGGCAAAGTGCACCATTCACAATGGTGGGATTTGTTCCTCGAATGCACTGGCTGGATACGGAGGTTAGTTATTCGTAAATGACCATCTTTCCTATTCAATTACTTAAAGTTGAACTGTTTGGATTTTACTCTTTAATTTCTCACAGTATTACATTAAGGTTTGCGATAATTCTTGCTTTTAAGATGCTGAAAACTGAAGTAGTTTGTAGGATTAAGTGATTAATTATATGGTCACATGGTAGAATCCAACTAAATTCAAAGCTTGACATTGAGTTTTGATTGCTTATATGATGAAGATGAGCACTTTATTAATTGGTTACACAAGAATGGTGCAACTGCAACTCCCACTTCCCGGGTTGAGGGTGGGACCGGAGAGAGAAAAAATGGAACTGATATGAACATGGCTCTTCGATAGTGATATTCTCTCTAAAGTGAGCAAGGGGTCTTTCATCCTCATTTTAATTTTAAGTGTATCATGATTTTGATTCACTAAATATTACTAGTAGATATACCCTTGCTCACTTTAGGGACAAACTCAATTCAAAGATTCTTTTTCAGAACTAATATATTGCGCAGAATGCTTGGAATGACTAATTGGTTAAAAAAAAAAACGCATGGCATATTACTACTCTACTTTTATTAAAAAATAAAGGAAAAATAAGATAAATATGCAGTTGGCCGCTATATTCATAGCAACTTGCTTGATGATAAGTGGTAACATATTGGAACTCCGAACTCTGATTTACCCTTATTGTGTACAACTTTTCATGTCTGTTTTCATATTGTGTCTGACTGATTTCTCTTTGTATACTACAGCAACATAATGTTGTACATTACAGGTATGGGGGATGGTGGTCTGTTTGGTGGATGGGCACTTATAGCATGGTTCTCTCAAAGGCTGCATTCTTTCACAGAAAATACTTGGATTTATATACTCACAAGATGTCTCCATCAATTCAGGACTATGTCTCCAGGGATAGGTAATATGTATGATTAACCCTGTCAATAATTTTAAATTTATTCTTATCACTTATTCTTTTCCATGTCCTTGATATTTTTGAATTTAAACTTTGTTGCCTTCGACAGAACCTGTGAAGACATTGCAATGTCCCTTCTTGTTGCTAATGCTACAGGTGGTCCTCCTATATGGGTGAAAGGTACTTTTTTTGTTCTTTCTCTTTTAAAGATAGGATTTAGTTTGCTGTGTTTGATATACAGTAATAACTTAAATTTAGAAAAAAATATTTGAAGTTTCAGTGCATGTATTGCTCTTCTATTGTAGTATCAGAGCTTCATATTTCATAGCTTGCAGCAATAAAATTTTAAAAACTACATAAATAAATTTTTTAATTACATTTCTTCTATATGGTACTATCAAACATTTAGGTAATGTTTGGCAAAAATAAGTAATCAGCTCAAAAGCTAATTTTTAACTATAAGTTATGACAATGGCTTATTGAATTTCTTATATAAAAATTAATGAATAAAAAATGTTTGATAAATTATCTTTGAATTAGTTCATAAATGTAAAATTTCATAAAAATAATGTTTATTTTTTCATATTAATTCTATTTTTGTTTTACAGACAATATATTTTTAGTTAGGCCATTATAACTTTAGGTTTCTTTCTTGTTAATTTTAAACTCTTACAATTTTTTTGTTTAAAACTAAAATAAATAGTGTAAATAGAGTAATAGTTAAAATGAATACTATAATATTGATAAAAAAAATATCCCAACAGAAAATGGGTATTCTGAAGGTGGAGAGAGACAACTAGGAGAGCATGGGTACTGTGAAGTTGAGGGTGAGGATTTTTCTTGAAATGAGAGGGCGTAGGAATTTTATTAAAATAGTAAGGGTAAAAATGAAAATAACGATAAATTAAATGCTCAGTCGCTACTTCTGGTAACGCATAAATATTATAATCTATTAAGATAAGCTCATTAGCCAAATGTATTTTCTTTTTGTTAAAGAAACTTATAAGTTAATAAAATACTAAGCTATAAGTTTTTTATAATGGCTAGCCAGACACACCTTTATTGTACCAAAAACACAAAAGTTACTTAATACTCACATTTTAAAGTAATTAAAAGCATTTATTAAGGTTTATTTAATGCTTTTTAATTAGTATCCTTAAGGCATGATAGAAACTGGTTAGGATCACAAATTCATTAATATACCAATTCCTCATCAAACACTACATTCAGAGCACAATTCACATCATACGCAACCAAAGAAAATATGTTAATGACATATCATCTAGTATATTATTGAACCCAATCAAAGAAGGGGTTCTCAAGGTCTCCTACAGTGCAACAAGGATGCAAGTATATAATATATAAATAACTATCTCATCTACTCAATCAAACAAAGGAGGCTTTCAAAGTCCTCTGAAGAACATTCAAACAATGGGATTGAAAGTCAATTTTACTATCACACAATTATCTCACACTCCGGAGCGAGATAACTCACTCACTTATCTTGAAAGTTGCTAAATGAAGGGCAGAGATCTACGGGAGGATCGCTTGTAGCCTTTGCATCCTCCCAAGGGCTTCCACGTTTGATATAAAACAGAGGTGAGAGAAGCATAAGTTTTAAAATGTAAAAAAGAATCTGTAGACCTACTTCCTTTTTAAAAATTCCCAACCAAATCATACCCTTTAGTTTAAGGAAACTAACCCAGGAACAAAACACTTTCTTTTCCTTTTAATTAATTTAAATACACAACCCAAAATACACATACTATATAATATTTTTTTTGCATAACTTTTCTTAATTTAATAAAAGCACTTTTAATCAATTTCTAAAAACATATACTATTATTTTTCAAAAGCTCTTCTCATATCAATAAAACTCATTTAATTGTTTTATAAAACGCATTTTATTAATTAAAAACATCTTTTATTATTTTTTAAAAAAACTTGGGGTGCTACACATAATACCATGAATTACTTAGTCTTTGGCAGAATAATCCTCACTTTCTTCATGCTCCTACCTCCTAACCTTATCCATTTCCAAAAGTATGTGGTGCTTTCTTTGCTGTAAAATCGAAGGGAAAAAAATGCAGTCATTTTCTCTCTTGGGTGGAGACTGACTTGTGTGGTATTGGAAAGCTAGATAATGATAGCTTAATCTCTATGCCTTGGCTAGTCCTTTATATCTATCACTCAGCTTGAAAGTAATGAAATATCAAAACTTTTGCATGAAAATTTCAGGCAAAATCTACGAGGTTGGTGCATCGGGTATTAGCAGTTTGAGAGGGCATAGCCACAGGAGAAACAAATGTCTCAATGACTTGATATCACTTTATGGAACAATTCCACTTATGTCAACGAATGTAAAAGCAGTTAGCGCTAGAAATGAATGGTTATGGTAATTTTTTATTTCATTAATCAGTCACCGATCCATTCCACCCACCAAGGAAAAAATAAAGAGAACAGAACTAAAGATTAAAAGTCATTGGTCAAGGAATTTGTCTGCATATTATGTGTATATAATAGTTCTACACTTCTACTAAAGTGTCTTACTAAGTTTTGATCCACTGGTGTCTGATGCAAAACATGATGTAATTTGCACTCAGCTTTTGGCTTGTACTAATTCTGCAAATGCCTAGTGCTGATGATCACTGATTTTGTTTGGCAAAAGCATGATGCTCCACTTCCCTCTATAATTATTCTGTAACCATGAGAATGACTTCTCAAATATATCAGAGCAAAAGACCTAGATTTGTTCTTATAATGAAAGTTGTCATTACCACTTATCAACAAAATGCTTTTGTGCACATGTGTGCCTATTCTAGGCTGTATCTGTTCTCCTTGTATTGCAAAATTAAGTACCATATGGAAGTGGCTGTAGGCTGTGGTGGAGCACTGCTTCAGAAAAGCACCAATATAGAATTAGTGAAGCTTAAACAAAGTATTAATGGGAGAGAACAAAGCAGCAGCATTTTTTCTAATTTAAAATATTGATTCTAATGTTTCTTTTGGAATTTGTTTAAATGTCTTTGCAAAGTTTGATGCTGGGTTTCAATTTTGTCTTACATACGTAATGATGATTCTACTACAAGTTATCAATAATCAATAACCCATTACAGTTAGGCATTGTTGTTCTCAATTGATAGGTCACTTCCTCATAGTCTGACAGTTTCATATTTTGCAATTGCAACCCCTGACCCTATTTGGGCTGTTGTTTATCAGTTATCACCCCTCATCCTCCCCTCACCCACACGGCCACACCTACAGCAATTGATTGGACAATATATACATCACATAGTTCACCTTGGGATGAAAAATATCGGTATCTGTAAAAAATATTTACATTAAGTAGGATAACTATATGCTCAATTGAGATGGATTGAAATTCGGAGATTTACTTAGCAATATTTGATGAGAATAGTTGCAGAAATGGGTACTATAGTACTCTACGCTTTTTCTTTATCATATTATAAATTGTGAAATGTGAAGTATTCATCGATCTTAATAATGACTAATTTTCGGAAAAGGAAAAAAAAAAGTGGTCATTTATTTTTTGGGTACAGCTTAAGTGTCAACTCTAGTAAAATTTTCTTGCCTGATTATATATATATATA